GGTCAAAGAACACATTGGTTTAACATTCTTTTATGGATACATGTGAAGACAATATTTCAGCTTGCTTTTCCCTCTACGGAAGTAATATTTGAAGCTGACATGTCAAATTGAACATACTGGCATTGGATTCAAAACATTTAGAGCCTTTAAAATTACTTTTACCTTAAAAAAAAATGTTGTAGAGAGTATTTTAGCATGCATTACTCTCTACAGAAGTAGTACGGCATTTGTAGCTGACCTGTCAAATTTAACATACTCGCATGCCGTTCAAAACATGGTCCCCCATGATCCTCTTTTTCTTATGTTAATTGAGAGCCGAGTTGATGAGATAGCAACCTGTCAGTGACCTTGCTGGGTGGTCTAATCCCCTGGGCAAACTAGTACAGACAGGCTTTACATACTGGCATGGGGTTCAAAACATTCAGAGAAAAAAAAATGAAATTGTTTTTGATTGGTCCTTTTAGAGCAACCATACTTTCAATGTTTGAATATCTATAAATAGGTGTATGATTGGCATGTCTAGCCCTTGGGCCTATCTCTCTCTCTCCATATGAAGACTTCCTCTGGGAGTCTGAGTAAAGCCGCAAAGGCAGAAGAGAGATTGATTGGCGTTGATCTCTTATTCAAATGTTTGTGAATTAATTCCCAGTTTTAAAGGGGCAAATGATGTTTGCTTGTAGAAAAGCTGCAATTTTAAGAGAAGGAACATCCTCAAGCTCTCAGAACCTTCAGATTTTTTAAAAGCGAAACAAGATGTGTGGAAAGTTGCAAATGCATTGAGTGCTGAAAAGTACACACATTGATGCATTTTGCTTATAAGTAAAACATTTTTTTCTTTCTGTTGGAGGGGTGGGAGATGGGTGCATATTTTCTGACAGAAACTTATACAAAAAGTTGTGGGGGGGGGGTGCGTGTGACTAAACAGGACATAGATTTAACTTTAAAGTTATGAGCTCCATGTACTGCTCATGGAAACTGGCCACCATCTCCCTTTCAAGTTTATGCAATGTCTTGTGAAACCTAGAGCTAAAGTAGCTATAAACTCTGCAAAGCAAAAGCTATGTGTATGCAGCAAATGTAATATAGTTCATATGACACAAAATATCTACTTTTGGTAGACTTCAGACAACACTACATACATGTAGTACTTGCTGTACATATTCATGTGTTTCCAAATGCTGATCATTAATGTGATGTGACAAACATCACAAGCAGTGCCAAGTTGTAGTCTACAGATGTAGATTCCTTTGCAACACTTGAAAACCCCAAAGTGTTTAAAGATAAACTCCAGTACTGGTAAAAAAAAAATTAATAATTCTCACAGAATCAAACGAAACTTACACTGAATGTTCAAGATTACAAATAAATGACATGTGCCAAACAATTTTGGAAGAAAATGTATACTGGCTGAGTAATGAGCATAGAAAGACAAGGAAACCAAGGTAGTACCATCCCCGACACGATGTGTGTTGTCCCATATATAGCTTTCTATGTGAGTGTTTGTTACTTTACCAAGACTCGGTCAAATTTATTATGATTTTGATGACTCCAGAACCTTGCAGTGCACACCAATACTTACATGCTACATGATCAACTGTTTCTGATCCTTTCACACCTTTTCTTTCACAATGCAATCGCATTACCAGTACTAAAGTTTAGCTTTAATGATTACTTTACTTTTAACAAGTGCATAGTCATAATTTACACATGTCGTAGTAAAGCCTCATCAAAATTCGCTGCAAAAAAACAATGATGTAGGCATTCATGTAGTGCATTTTACATACCAGTATCTTTCTGCACGCAGGACCCTGAGAGTGGTACCTTCAAAGGGGCTGTTATTATTTGTAGCTAATTACCCCCCATTAGCATTTGCCATTTATTTTGCCATCACCACATTTTTTCTTTTGGTTTACTGCATCATTTGAACAAGCCTTCAAGGACTTATCTTCAGTTGTATGAAGTACCAGTTTTGAGTACTGTATATGTTAAAAGGTAAAGACTAGTTTTGGAAACGCCCCCCTCTCAAAAAATGAAATGGAAGCTCTTATTACCAATCATGTGAAAGAATATGTTTTGACTAATATGTAATGATACAAATTTTGCCGAGAAACCGCCTACTAATTGATATATTTGGTTAAATATTATATCTATTTGGACCTGATAGATAATGCACGTGCCACGTACATGTAGTCCCATATACCTCTTTCTGTGTGCAGTGCTTGTAACTTTACCGAGACTGGGCCAAATTTCATTTAGATGATTCCAGAACCTTGCAGTACACACCAATACTTAGAGTATTATGCTAGATGATCAACCTTTTCTGAGCGATTCCACAACATTTCTTTCACAATGCAATCGCAAGACCATAACTGGCCTTTCTTTTTAAGAGGCCATTATCAAGTGCAGCTAATTACTCCCTCCCCCACTCACAATTGCCATTCAAATATAAAATAGTTTCTATATTGTCGCCTTCACGTTTTTTCTTCCTGTTCACTGCATCGTGTGAACAAGCCTCGAGGGACTTATCTTGCAAGTGGATCTAAACTGTATCAAGTACCAGTATCAGTCCTTACGTTACAGGTGTAATAAAAGTCTGAGGCTGTAGACTGGCCAAGTTTTGACGAATATTTGTAATCGAGTCAGTAAGAACCGATGTGTAACCTGTTATTTGCTGGTACATTGTACATGTTTGTTAGAGCCAATCGTAGGGAAATTCTCAGAGGTCCACATTAAGTCATATCCTGACAGTAACTTAATCTACGAACAACTCAACATGTAATGGTACGATTTACCAAGCTAATTAGAAGGTGACCTTAGGAGGCCCATGAGTAGTTTGTAGGCACAAACCCATGTCCATCGTAGCACCTACTCTATCTATCTATCTAAGTATCTTCTTCCGGTTTGGAGGTTGATTCCAACATCTCTGAAAGTCTCCATTTCACTCTATCTTCTGCCATTCTGGTGCACTCTTGCAGTTTTAGTCTACTCCAGTTCTTGACATTCTCTTCCCAGTTGATTCTGGGTCTCCCTCTTGGTCTAGTTCCTTCCACTCTTCCCTACAACACATCCTGTAAAGGTACATGTTAGGTATGTCCCTTTTGCAGCCAACCTCAAATGCTGTAGAACTTTGCAGGAATTATGAATATGTCATGTATGTCCTATCTGTGAAATGTAAACGTTAGCAGTGTCCTCATATTCAAATTATGCAAGGAAACCCGTTTACTTGCTAGCCTTCACTGTCAGACACTATTGAGTGACTGACTGGCTTTTTTTCTTCTTTGGTAATTACATACATGAAAGAGTTGTAAAGGGTACATTAGCATTTGTCTACATCAATAACCCACTTCTTGTGATGGCCAAGATTAAACTGATTGAATCTTTGCGCAGCATAAAACGTATGACCATTCGGTACAATTGTCTGAAATCAAGACTATTACTTTTGGGCTCTATAGCCCTAAAGTCGCTTTGACAACTAATAGTCGTTATTTTCCCACTTGAAGACATTTTCAAGCCCCACCTTTTTTAGGGAAGTTCTAAATTAGTATTATCTTTCAAATGCAGTTGGAATTTAACTTTTTCATTTTTTGGGCCTGCAAATGGGACATAGTACCTTTAAGAGGCTTTGGTGCCTTTTAACATGACCAAAGTATTTGACTTTTCTCTCCTTAACTAATCCTACCAGTGCAATTTGTTTACGCCCTGCCATGTGCAATATCTCTTTGTTGGTTTTCATTTGTTTCCAGGAAATTTTCATCATTCTTCTGTAAATCCACATTTCAAAAGATGTTATTCTATTTTCCATGACCTTGCTTATTGTCCATGTTTCTGCTCCATACAATAGGACAGATATAACAGTGTACTAGTCTTAACCCAAGTGCAAATTTCACCTTTCTATTTGTGAATAAGTCTTTCATTGCCATGTACATGTATATCAGGGCTAAAAAAAAAGAAGTTGTTTTGCCCTTTGCGACCGGCCCCAAAATCTTGAAATCTACGGTCGGCTTTTTATTTTTTATTTTTTTTTTTTTTACCGTTTTTTTTTCGGAAAAAAATGTATTAAAAACATTCAAAACTGAGAAATATCAGCCCAAAGAGGGAGTATTTTTTTTTTAATTACGACCGACCGACCCATGTTTTGGCACCTACAGTGTAAAGGGCAATACAACATCTTTTTTTTAGGCCTCATACAGGGTCTTAACTTGAAGACTGTTGAATGCACCCAGTACAAAGGCTGCTCCTTCGGAAGTCAGTTTGACTTGCAAAGTTAGGATCTACATGTACATGTATAGGCTCAAGGCTTTGTGAATTTTGTCCATTATCACAGAGAGTCTGTCCCTGCAGGCTATTAAACCTAAAGCTTGCCAAAGGACTGCCGGACTTGGCAGTGATGGATGCATGGTAATTGGGTAATGGTATTAGAAAGTATATTTAGGAAAAAGTAGAGTGAAACCAGCCTCTCACAAAAATATAATTACAGCAAAATGAACACAGAACTACTGGGGTACATGATATTGTCCATTGTCTACCCAATTCTCTCTCTCTCTCTCTCTCTCTCTCTCTCTCCCTCTCTCTCTCCCTCTCTCTCTCCCTCTCCATCTCTTTTCTCTCCTTCACTCCATTTCCATTCAAGACATGATCGGCTTGGCACCAAATTACAGGACAACAAAAAATGGGTCAATAATAGATATTTAAATTGGTGATAATAAGAAATAGATGTGAGTTGAAATATTCTAGGAAAATTTTAGAGTACCTACATGTACATCTGTGAAGCAGTAAATTCAAAATTTTATTTTTAAGTTATTGATAATAGGGAATGATCCTATGTCTTTAAATATTTTTTAGTAATTTGAATTTCATATTTACAAGTACTTTTAAAATCATTTTCAGTTTCAACTTTGAATTTGAATATATGACATTGTCACAGAATTTTAATTTTAATTCAATTTTGATTTTGATTATGTACCGATTCATTTTATGAAATTTGCTATTTCCTTGCACAGAACATCTAGGAAAAAGCCTGGAGGATTACATCGCCAAGCTACCCGTGTCCGTCTACGTTGTGAAGATGAAGGGCCGCTCTGGTCTGATCCGAGCCAGGATGGCAGGGGCAGCCGTGGCCAAGGGACAGGTCCTTACCTTCCTGGACTCTCATTGTGAGGTGACGGAAGGATGGTTGGAGCCCATGCTTGCCAGGATCGCTGAAGACAGGTACAGTATGACCCCATTCTAATTATAAAGGTTAAATGGTGGTAAATAATAATATTTCGCTTTTATATAGCACTTAATACATCTCTGATGTCTCTAAGCGCTTTACAGATATACTATCACCCCGGTCATTGGATTCAGTGCTTGCCTGCACACAGTGTGCAAAATCTCCACTCCCTGGGGAGCATTCCAGCCAGGCATTACTTGACGCACAAAAACTGCAATTTCTTATTTGGAACCAAAGAATTTTTGCTGAAATTTCACATTTCTGTAGACCAAAAGATTAGCAATAGACCCTCCAAGTTCTGCTGTGAATGAAACATCCTAATTACATTCTGTAACTTCCTATTTCCTATGGGCCTGGTTCTGGCCTGTAGCCAAGGTTCCCTGTTCTTACAGTAAAAGATTTTATAGTTCCACAAAAGTATTAACTGTTAGCAACGGTCTTTGCAACACCCCCCCCCCCCCCCCAGGACATTCTTGTGAAAAAACCTCATTGGTTAATTAACATATTTACCTCTTGTGATATTTTTAGAAATATCGTGTTCAATACCATGTTTTTAACTTGTATTTGTGAACAAATGATATAGAATGTGGAAAAATGCAAAAATTTGTGAGGTCAAAGAGTGACAGCTGAATATAAATGCAGTTGGCAATTAGTGTGTATCGCTTCCATGCCTTTCACAAGACACTACTGTTTCAATTCATTTTTCTCGAAATCTGGGAAACAAATCAGAGATATTGACCCACACAGCTCATATAACAATCCCTAAGCCGACTCCGCCCCCTAGCTCCAAGAATTCACTTGTCATGAAGCTAAACAGGGAACACTCACTCGGCCTGACGCATTACAGATGTGGGTACATTTCATATGTACATGTTCGTTTGGTGCAAGTAAGGATGTGTTGTGTGAAGTTTTGTGGCACAATATTTCACAATATTTTGTATCCCTGTTGATACTGATAGGTTCAAGTGCTTTTAATAGTACCGGTAGTAAGTTTTTGAATGTGTCTGTGTCTATGCCTGCATTTCACTTGCAAACAGTTCAGCAGTAGAACTTGACCTTTTTCATGGTGCAATCAAGAAAATGGCGATGCCCATGTCTTCCTGAGAAACTACTTTATTCTTGCTTTATGCCTTTGTCATAAACTTTGGTGGGGAATCTTGTAGATCGATGGGCAAGAATGCAATAAATCTCTCAGAAAGTTATTCTGTTGGGTCAGTTCTCCTTAAAGCTTGTCTGTACTAGTTTGGCCTGGGGGATTAGACCTCCCTGCAAGGTCACTGACAGTTGGTTATCTCATCAAATCAGCTCTCAACATAAGAAAATGGGGGTCATGGGGGACCAACAGGCACCGATTAGGCATTGTTTGCTATATAGAGGGCGCAAGTTGCTATAAGTAGTGCAGTGGGGCTTAATAGAGCAGTGGGGAAGTCCCAGGAAGTTGATGTAATAACCCCTATTGTTGTGTCATGGAAGGTCAGGAGAGCAAAGCACTTTGATGCAGTGTACTAGTCTACAGAGATGCAGTCCCCATAGGGCAACAGTACGGTAGTGCTTATATTCTCTCCTTGAGAATAGACTGACTATTAAAAAATATTCATTTGTACACGTGTGCGGAGGACTTATTAGTCAGGCATGTCTGAAAACTACTCTATAGATTCAAAAGTACTTTAGTATAAAATTAAGGCGCTGTCACATCAAGCATTGCAATTTACCAAATTTCATCACAAAGCACAACACAACTCATAAGTGTTATATAACTTGCAACTCCTACATGTAGATCATATGATACATGTAGGTTTTATGGTACATTGTATTTCAGGAAATGTTAAAATATATGTAACTGATTTTATTGGAGGATCCAGTGCCTTTGAGTTTTTTTTTTAATTCATAGAAAAATATGAAGCCATGTTGAAATGCTGTGTGTCATCATCTCCATCATTAATACTTTTTTTCTTTCAGATGTTTGTAAATAGTTGACACTTCCTGAATGCCAGCGTTCATTAATACTGATTAATGAAACCTGCGTCAAGTTTTATGCACCAGCTGCGAGTTAGTGCACCGTACTGATGTGATAATTACCTATGACACTCTGGAGTGGCCTGCTCAAACTGAACACCGACCGCTGCTTTCATTTTCGATACTATTATTATTATTATTGTATTCCTGCTTTCTTTCTAGATGATAAGCACATCCATTAAAAGTGCTTTCAAATTACTGATCTGTTTAATAAGCAGGTTTACAGGGCTGGCTTTCTGCTTCCCATAAAATAGACAATTTAACTGTAATTTTTTTTAAACAGTAATTTGTCCAGAATGTTTTATGGGATATGCAACTTTCCTTTACCGTTATACAGAAAGAAACTATATTGAATGGTGGGAATTTTTTGAAACTGAACTGTCTCAGAGACACACATATAAACTTTGTCCATTTTATTGCTAACATTCTCATGAATTACTACAGAATAAATCCATGAAATTTCATGCACATTTTGTGTATTTGAAAAAGAATATAAATATTTGCATTATATTGATCAGTATTCATATTTGCATGCATTTTTAGTCATGTCATGTACACCGGTACTGAAATGTTCATGTTCATTTTACATGTACACGTATTCAAGAGTATATTAACTTTTTGGAGCCAGCTGGGCATTAGACCTGTGTAAAATCAAATGAGTTAAATACGGTCAAACTTGCTTTTAAAAGTACTATGTCCCTTTTGCAGCTCAAATGCTGTAGAACTTTGCAGGAATTATGAATATGTCATGTATGTCCTATCTGTGAAATTTAAATGTTAGCAGTGTCCTCATATTCAAATTATGCAAGGAAAACCGTTTACTTGCTAGACTTCACTGTCAGACACTATTGAGTGACTGACTGGCTTTTTTTCTTATTTGGTAATAACATACATGAAAAGAGTTGTAAAGGGTACATGAGCATTTGTCTACATCAATAACCCACTTCTTGTGATGGCCAAGATTAAACTGATTGAATCTTTGTGCAGCATAAAACGTATGTCCATTCGGTACAATTGTCTGAAAATCAAGACTATTACTTTTGGGCTCTATAGCCCTAAAGTCGATTTGACAACTAATAGTCATTATTTTCCCACTTGAAGACATTTTCAGGCCCCACCTTTTTTAGGGAAGTTCTAAATTAGTATTATCTTTCAAATGCAGTTGGAATTTAACTTTTTCATTTTTTTGGCCTGCAAATGGGACAAGTACCTTTAATAGTGACCACCTGTCTGCAAAGACCACATTTTTTGTTTCCCTTGAAAATGTTTTCTCGTTGAACCATGTACTAAAGGAATCTGTCTACAAAGACCTTTTTTTTTCTCCCTTGGGCGGTCGCTATAGACAGGTTTGACTGTACTTGTACCGCCTATCCAGCTCTTAAAACAAACAGTCTGATACAGAACATGTGGTGGTACTCACAGGCTAGTCATGTTACTCTCTGCTAGTAGCTGACACCATCTGTTGGGTGTTTCCAGACTGACTTTGGATTTTGTACAGTTTTCTGTATTTAATATTATTTGAAAGTGTCTTTAATAAGAAATATGAGCATCATAGCTGATATTCAATACTTGTGTCAGAAATATGAGTATGTTTAATACTAAGTTTTGGACTTGGATAAAATACAAAGCCAACTTTGATATTAATTTAAAGTATATTACCCTAAATTTAAGACAGCTCCCTAGCAGACTTAAGCCAATTATTTGTGAGGCCTTGATTGGCAAGGATATGGTGTTTATACAGTCATCATAAGCTGTGCACCATTATATTAGCCAAGTAAAATGCTGAACAACATAATGACTTAATCCACATACTGAATTGAATACGGCCCCTGATTTTGTCAGATTGTGAAGCTTGTGAAGAAAAATAATTAGAAGTAAACAAAATGAGATTTGTCACTTGAAGCAGGACACTAATAAAAGCTATGAGAATAAAAGATATTAGTGTTCACAAATATCACAAACGGATGACTTACAAACAAATGACCTTTGCGCTACTTGTTGCCATGAAAGTTAAGTAAGCTTTACCTAATGAATTCTAGACAGTTTCTTCACATGCAATAACTTTATCTTCAGTCTGACAGAACTCTTCTTCTAATTTTTTTGTTGTTGTTGCTCTGTCCATACCAGGACAATGTCCTTTTGCCTAGACATAGATGTGATCAGCAATGAGTTCAATGAGATTGGTGGCTTGGATTGGCTCCTCCTCTTCTTAAAAAACCTTCTTCTAAATCTCTCTCTCTCTCTCTCTGCTTACCTAAATTTTCTGCAATGATTGTTTGGAGAAAATCTGCTTAAAGGTTCTATGTCCCATTTGCAGGCCAAAAAAATGAAAAAGTTAAATTCCAACTGCATTTGAAAGATAATACTAATTTAGAACTTCCCTAAAAAGGTGGGGCTTGAAAATGTCTTCAAGTGGGAAAATAACGACTATTAGTTGTCAAATCGACTTTAGGGCTATAGAGCCCAAAAGTAATAGTCTTGATTTTCAGACAATTGTACCGAATGGTCATACGTTTTATGCTGCGCAAAGATTCAATCAGTTTAATCTTGGCCATCACAAGAAGTGGGTTATTGATGTAGACAAATGCTCATGTACCCTTTACAACTCTTTTCATGTATGTTATTACCAAAGAAGAAAAAAATCCAGTCAGTCACTCAAGTGTCTGACAGTGAAGTCTAGCAAGTAAACAGGTTTCCTTGCATAATTTGAATATGAGGACACTGCTAATGTTTAAATTTCACAGATAGGACATACATGACATATTCATAATTCCTGCAAAGTTCTGCAGAATTTGAGGTTGGCTGCAAAAGGGACGTAGTACCTTTAAAGTCTCATTCTATTATTATTCTGCTTGTTTCACCCAATCCAAAACCCAGTCTGTTTCCCCGGTCATTTTCGTGATCGGTGTTACATTTCAGTACCAGCACGGCAACGACCCTCAGATTGGTAGTTTCAGTTGGTCCCTCTTCTTACAAATATTTTCTGCAATGATTGGTTGGAGGAAGGACTTCTCATCAAGATATTAATCTTCCAAAGTCTGGAGGTGTCGTGGACAAGTGGATACGTTGCCGGACTATCGATCACAAGGTCCGCGGTTCAAATCCCGCCTCGGCACTAATGTCCTTTGACAAGACATTGATCTACATTTGCCACACTCCACCCAGGTGAAGTAAATGGGGACTGGTAGGAAGGAATTCCTTGAATGCTGTGACTGAGCACCAAAATCGGTAGCCTCCCAGAACCGGCGTAATATTGGAGCGCTTTGAGCACCTTGCAGGGTGGATATGTGCGCTATATAAATATCCAATATTATTATATTATTATTATTATTATTTAACATTATTGCTCTTGTTCTAATCATTTTAGGACAACATCTGTTTGCCCGGTCATCGACATGATCAGCAATGATACCTTTCTGTACCAGCACGGCAATGACCCACATATGGGCGGCTTCAGTCCGTCCCTCTATTTACACATACATCTGTATCATCTACAATGATTGGTTGGACGAAGTACTTCTCATTAAGATATTAATCTTCCAAAGTCTTTAACATTCTTCCTCTTGTTCTATTCATTTCAGGCCTGGTCATCGACGTGATCAGTTGACTCCTTCTTTTTCTAAATCTATTTCTGCTTACATAGATTTTCTGTAAAAATTGGTTAGATAAATGCTTGAAGCCTCATTCTGTTATTCTTATTCTTGCTTTACCAAATCCAGGACGTCTATTTGCCAGTCATTCACGTGATCGGTGATACCTTTCAGTACCAGCATGGCAACGAACCTCAGATGGGCGGCTTCTGTTGGTCCCTCTAGTACTACTCATCAAGATATTAATTTTCCAAAGTCTTTAACATTCTTTCTCTTGTTCCATCCATTTCAGGACGACATCTGTTTGCCCGGTCATCGACGTGATCAGTGATGACACCTTTCAGTACCAGCACGGTAACGACCCTCAGATGGGCGGCTTTGGTTGGTCCCTCTTCTTCAAGTGGTTTCCGGTTCCTAAGAGGGAACAGATCAGGAGGAAAGGAGATCCAACTGAACCAGTCAGGTAATAATATTAATAATATTCGGTTCTTGTATAGCGCATAACACATCATATAACATCTCTATTCACTTCCAAAGAGCTTTGGAAATTATTACCCTAGCTTTAGCTCCGGCAACCGTAATCAGCGCACAGTGTGCAGGAATCTATCAAGAAAGAAATCAGAATGCTTTTTATTGACCAATCACCTTACTTTGATATGTCTTCACCCATTATCTTTGGGAACTGAGTGATCCCTGTATTAAGTCTAGGGAACTTGAGAATGCAGTAGTAAATAATCATGATCCATCAAAAACTTATCTTGATTGGTCTTTGGTATGCCATGGCATTCAGGAAACCTTTTGTCTTATGTACAAGTGTATCTACAGTATCTGAATGTTTTTTATCGTCAGGGTATGTGGTTTTCAGCAAGTTTTTGCTATTGTGTTGTCAATCAGCTGGCCCAACTTTATAATATTTCAAACATATTTTTGTTAGATGCAGCTTCACTGGGAGTAGATCACAATAAGTAGTTTTAAAACAATGTTTGATGGGCTTAAAAATCACGGTTTTGCATTCATTTGCTTATCACCCTCTTTTTCAGGTCTCCCACAATGGCTGGTGGTCTGTTTGCCATCGACAAGAGCTATTTTGAGGAGCTAGGACAGTACGACCCTGGCTTCAACATCTGGGGTGGAGAGAATCTGGAATTGTCTTTCAAGGTAAGTCATACTTTTAAAATTATTAGTGGTAATTTGCAGATATTATTCAATTTTTTTCTGTCCAATGGTACGGAAACCTGTATGAAAAGAGATTTTTTGATAAATTGAAGATGTTATTGGACTACGGATCACATGATATTGCTTCAAATCTCTGCGATAGTACTGACATCCTTTAGCAAGATTTTAAATTATTTGTGCCACACTGCCTCTGAAGTTGCCTTATCACTATCTTTGGGAATTATGCTTTTAACGTATGTATGTATGGTTTCTATTACTCTGATGATTGTAACATTGCATGTCCTTTCCTTTTTCGGTTTCTCCTTTTCCTTAGTTGTGGATGTGTGGCGGTAAGCTGGAGTTCATCCCCTGCTCCCACGTGGGCCACGTTTTCCGCAAGAAGTCTCCCTACCACTTCCCCCCTGGCACCAACTACGTTAACAAGAACAACAAGCGACTTGCCGAGGTCTGGCTGGACGAGTACAAGAACTTCTACTACAGGATATCGCCCTCTGTGGCCAAGACTGATCCAGGAGATATCTCGGATCGGTTGAACCTAAGGAAGAGCCTGAGCTGCAAGTCATTCAAGTGGTATTTGGAAAACATCTATCCGGAATCATCATGGCCAGTCAACTACCAGTTTATGGGTGAAGTAAGTACCTGGAGGTTGGTTGATTGGGGCAGGTCTTAGATTCAATTGGTATCTAGAAAACTAATTTAATTTAATTCAATTTACTTTTAATTAAGGAACTTTACATAATTATCTTGATCTAAGGAGACACGAACAAACGATCTAGAAAACATCTATCCGGAATCATCATGGCCAGTCAACTACCAGTTTAAGGGTGAAGTAAGTAACCTGATGTTGGTTGATTGGGGCGGTTCTTAGAGTGTCTGTCTTAGAAGCTTTTGTCTGTCAAAGGTTGTGGAACATTTGATCATAATGGCCCATCATCAGGGAGATCCTGGGTACTTACGGACGGTTAGAATCAATGATTTAATTTGTCATCTCCCTGATATTATGCTATTTAACTCTATACAGTGTATGTGCTGCTTCAATAGTATCCCTGTCCCACGTTATATTTCTTAAGAGATATTTTTTATCAACAGATTCTACTTCATTTCTAAATTCCAAGGATAAAGCAACATGTACTACATACAGGTTATAAAAGGATTGTCATGTAGTTACTTGAGACTGTAAATGGGTCATTATGCAATCCTTTTTGCAGTGCACACTCCTATCCATTTGTTTATAGACAATAATGGTTTGTGGCAATTGGCACATTTGGCAAGCCTGTGGATGTGTCAATTGGAACTTGTAACAAAAGAAAGATTAAACAATCACATTGCATTGACATTGTGCAGTGTTTAGTGAGGTTAACCAGTAACGTGTTCCCAACACAAGTGCTTTCTTACCAGGTTTTGCCTCCTTCAGATTATTTAATTATTTACTTTTCTGTTCTATTTGTTAATTTTTAACCATATTGCCAATGGGAAGGAAATGAATGTTAATTTGAATGTCCTATCCTCTCCTTTGTCTCCATCAGGTGAGAAACACGGAGGCTCATGTCTGTCTGGATACTATGATGAAGGAGGCTGGTAATAAAGTGGGTCTGTATGGATGCCATGGGCAAGGAGGAAACCAGGTAAAACAAGTTTGTCTGTCCTCCTCTCTCTCTCTGTCTTTACTTTTGTCTGTATATATCTTTGTGTCTCTCTATTTGTCTTTCTGTCTCTATCTCCCTCTCTCTGTGTCTGTCTCTGTCTCTGTCTCTCTATCTCTCTCTCTCTGTCTATCTCTTGCTCTCTCTCTCTCTGTCTGTCTCTGTCTCTCTCTCTCTCTCTCTCTCTCTCTCTCTCACTCTCTCTCTGTCTCTGTCTGTCTCTCTTTCTCTCTCTCTCTCTCTCACTATCTGTCTCTCTCTGTCTCTGTCTGTCTGTCTGTCTCTCTTTCTGTCTCTCTCTCTCTCTCTGTCTCTCTCTCTCTCTCTGTCTCTGTCTCTGTCTCTCTTTCTTTCTCTCTCTCTCACTCTCTCTCTCTGTCTCTCTCTCTGTCTCTCTCAATACCACTTTCTTTCCACCCCGCTCTTCCTCTTTCTCCTCCCCTGCATTTTACATACAGTCTTTATCAGTTTAGGCGATGCAATTTTTTTTTAGTTGGACTAGATTTTGCCCATTTTTTTCACCGATAGAGTGATAATTGTTTATTTAAAACAAGATGTGAGATGTGCATAATAATCATGTAAACACCCTCCTCCATGATATTTGCAAATTGTGTCACAGCATTTTGAAGCATCTCTAAAGCAGATTTGACTGTAGTTTAAATTGTTATTGCTCACTCTCTCTCTCTTTCTCCCTTTCTCCCCCCCCCCCCCTTCTTCTCTCGCTCTTTACCGTTTTGTCTAGATTTGGGCCTTTACCAAGAACAACGAGTTGAGGCATGACGATCTTTGTCTGGATGTAGCGCGAGGAGGACCCGTCATGATGCTGAGCTGCCATATGCAGGGAGGAAATCAACATTGGAACTATGATGAAAAGGTAAGATAGTCCAGAAGGAGTTCAGAATTCATAACTTCTATAAAGAAATTTGCTAATGATAAAAATGAAAGGATGAATAATATTTTGTTCTCTCTGGAGGTTTCGTGGTTAAGTGGTTTATTTACTTGACTAGCAATCCAAGGGTTGATGGTTATTATCTCGGCCCAGCATGAACGTCCTTTATCAAGACATTAAAGGTACTATGTCCCATTTGCAGGCCAAAAAAATGAAAAAGTTAAATTCCAACTGCATTTGAAAGATAATACTAATTTAGAACTTCCCTAAAAAAGGTGGGGCTTGAAAATGTCTTCAAGTAGGAAAATAATGACTATTAGTTGTCAAATCGACTTTAGGGCTATAGAGCCCAAAAGTAATATTCCTGATTTTCAGACAATTGTACCGAATGGTCATACGTTTTATGCTGCGCAAAGATTCAATCAGTTTAATCTTGGCCATCACAAGAAGTGGGTTATTGATGTAGACAAATGCTCATGTATCCTTTACAGCTCATTTTATGTATGTTATTACCAAAGAAGAAAAAAAGCCAGTCAGTCACTCAAGTAATGAAGTCTAGCAAGTATTACAGGTTTCCTTGCATAATTTGAATATGAGGACACTGCTAACGTTTAAATTTCACAGATAGGACATACATGACATAGTCATAATTCCTGCAAAGTTCTACAACATTTAAGGTTGGCTGCAAAAGGGACATAGTACCTTTAATCCGCATGTGCCACTCCCCCCCCTGGTGTTAGTGGGTACCTGGCAATCACTGGGGTAGTAGTATTTCAGTACCCTCAGGAAGAACGGCATTGATGCTGATGAGCCTTCCCTGGGTAAACCAAATGCTCTCATTTATCACATGTCACATTATAATGTAACGTTCCCCTGCGCTTCTAATGAGCTTTGGAAATTGGAAGGGGCAGGGGGGGGGGGGGGGGGGAGGGGAACAAATGCTGAATACAGACATTTTGAATGTGAGTTTTAAAATATTTTTCTTTACTTCATGGTCAGCTTTAGTAACTTACATTTTGTATTGACTATAAAGTCAAACCTGCTTTAGTGACCAACTGTCTACAAAGAAAACACAATTTTTTTTCCCCCCTTGAAAATGGTTTCTGATTGAAACATGTACTAAAGGAACCTGTCTACAAAGACCACTTTTTGTGTTTCCGTTGGGCGGTCGCTATGGTTTGACTGTATATACACATGGGAAGCTTGATGTTGAGTGAGCTGAAATCTTACTATTATGTAGTAATAATCCACCTAGTCTATACCTTTCTTTCAATATCTCTGAACTTTTGTAACCTGCACTCAATTGCCCCACCTACCGTTGCACCTGTTACTATTAAAATTCTGACATTTTACCTCGTTCACATACCGGTATGCGGTTGAAAACCCCCAACCCACATTTCTTCAGCTTATAACATGCAGATAAGGAGTATGCTGGTCCTTGCTTGTGCAAAGCTGCTTTTTATTTCAAATTCCTTTTTGCCAATAATTTAGGCACATACAACCCCCCCCCCCCCCCCCCAAAAAAAAAAAAAAAAAAAAAAAAAAAAAAAAAAAATAAATAAATAAATAAATAAAAAAATAAATAAATAAATAAATAAATAAAAAAAAATTAAAATTTTTTTTAAAAAATAAATAAATAAATAAAACTAAACAGCATTATCTGCATAATATGTGTACGGCCCTCAATGATTTAAATATCAAAAGACATTTCCATAATTGCACTTTTTATTACCTCTTATGCTTGCCGCAAACTATATGATTCTTCTGCAATCTCATTTTCAAAGAAACTGCTGTGGCTTTGGATATGGGAATCTAAACAAATATATAATAATAATAATAATATTGGCATTTATATAGCGCTCTTACAGACATACATGTGTATCACAGCGCTTTACAGCATTACATTACTTAATTGACATTGATAGCAAACAATAAAATTACGTACACAAAAATATATAAATTCAACTATTAAAGAGAAAGGTTTTCAAGGAACGTTGAAAGATAGCGAGAGAAGGAGAAGATCGTACAGCCTGAGGGAGATTGTTCCAGAGACGTGGTGCGGAAACAGAAAAAGATCGATCCCCAAAGCGTGTACGACTCCTGGGAACCGAGAGCAAGGTTGGGTCGTTGCCAGATCTCAGACCATGCCTTCCTGGTTGATGTAATGAGAGAAGGTTTTGGAGATAGGAGGGAGCCAATTTATGGATGCACTTGTAGGTCATTGTGAGAATATATCCTGGTAATGGTTCAGAATAGCGATATGAATACTAACAATCACAAATGATGTAGTTGGGGTTAAAAGCCAAATCTGTTTCAAATCGTAGATGATAGTCCAACCGAAATTGCGTCAAAGATTTTGTGCCGATCAAGGTTTCTCCTTCGAGGAAGCTTGCAGTTGCCCGACTTTGCTTTCTTATCAAGTATTCCAAACCTCTATTATTAAGATTATACATGTTTTACATGTATGAATGCTCATTGCAGAATCTTCCCAAATGGGGACGTAGGCAGGTTCGTATAGTGTGCGGTTGGCTTTACACGTACCTGATGCATTGATTACTCTAACCCGTTTTTTTTTTACTTTGCTTGTTTACTTTCTAAACGCCTACCTCAAGCACCTGAGTCAATCCTGGACATTCACGCAGGTTTCCAAAAAGAACTTTAACTCTCTAGTAGATTCCCAACTCACATCATTCCTGCTTTATTTGCAGAAAAGCATGCCATCGTAGATATACTGTAGTTCCATTTCCCAACTCTTGGGGTGGTATTCTGAAAAATGATAGTAATTGTCAAAACGGTATTATTCACAAAACACTGTACATTAGAGATGCATGGGTGTACTGTCTAATATCAGAGTTTAGAACCCTACTCTGACATTGCTTAGATATGAGAAACATCGTTATATGGGAACATAGTTTTTGAGCTTTCTGTTACTCTTCTTGTCAGTATATCTAGACGTCTTTGGTTTTAAAAGAAGGGCCTTTACCCCCCCCCCCCCCCCACCTCCCCCTTTCTCTAAGCATGCACAGGTACATGTATATATTCTCTCTGCAATGGTTTATTTTCCTTTCTCTCACTCCCAAAGCTTTATTTTCCTTTACAAGCCTTGTTTAGATATGTAGCTGTAAACCGTGGCGTTTGTTTTTTTAAATGATGACATAAAGTTTAATACGCTTCATGCCTTGTAACACAGAGCTAACTGAATACTTGCAGGACCTTTGTTGTGTGTACTTGCCATATATTCACACATACAAACAATTTTTTTTTTTGGTGGTGGTTTACTGCATCATGTCTGGACGAGCCTTATGTATGCAGATGTACTTATTCTCTCGACAATGGGTTTTAAAAAATGTTTCCTTTATGTTCCTCAGACTTCTTTTTCCTCTACATGTTCATGTGTAAGTTTTAATGTATTAGAATGCCTCCCCATCATTTTGTCATCCAGTGTCTAACCTCATGTTTATTCAAATGTATTTTTTTAAACGTATTTGTGTATGTGCCAATGATTTAGTAATACCGTGTTAAGAAAATTAATAGACTTGTTTGTGTGTTTCGTAAGTAGCAGGACTCGAGCATGATCTGGTATTGAAAGTGATAACCTTTGAGATTAGTGTCTGCTGCAGAATGCTTTAACCTAATACATTTTAAAGGTAAAATAGAAAAATCAATGAGGACAATTAGGCCAAGGGAAGGGTTAAATTATATCCAAAGCCATTATATCAAGGTTCTTCTGTATGTGTTAGCATCAAAGATGACTCAACATCCCTATTTCTTTATTTGGGTTTTCAAGTGAAATATTATAGGTCTTTACACCAATCCTGTTTACAATTACAATTCAGGGGTGGGGTTTTAGAGATTAATTTTAGGGTGAAAGTTATTCTCATCGTGGTCCTGTAAGATATTGCGATTGTCTATTTCTGTTTGAAGCCATGCGTATGGAACCCATATCACGAGCAAGCCAGGCAAAATGCTCGAGTCTCAGGATTCTTTGTCAGGACTTTCTAAGATTCTTGGATTTATTTTAGTTAAAGGGAAGATGGTTGCCAGATGCCATGTGTAGAAGGCCATAATGCGCTGACACCAAACTTGGTGGAGATCCCAGTAATGGTTCTACAAGTCTGCACACAGCAACCCCTAGTCCAATCAAGAAAAAAAACCTAGTCTCTCAGAGAGTCTTAAAGATGAAGTTGAGTTCTGGTCATGCGATTGCATTGTGGAAGAAACGGTGTGAAACCGACCAGAAAAGGTTGATCATCTAGCATATAAGATTTTGTGTGTAATGTAAGGTTCTGGAATCATCAAAATGATTAAAAAAAATTGCCAAGTCTTGGTAAAGTTACAAACACTGTACACAGAAAGATGTATATGGGACTACACAAACATGTGGCGTAAAAATCCGACCCTGAATTTTTACGATGTTACATGACATATTTGGAATATGAAGGCATTTGAAGAGCCATGCTTTTTAGGGAACATGTCTTATCTGATGTTCTTCCACACTTGCATAATAAGAATGATAACACTCACAAATTATTTTTCACCTCTTCCCAGAACTAAACCTTCTCTTTAAGGTGAGAGAAAAGTAAGATATTAACTTTTACCATATGGGGGAATGGATGGCTAATCCTGGTTATTGACAACACCCGTTTAATATCCTAAGCATCTTTGAAATAACACTTATATTTATTTTCTCTTCTTCTCTGAATGTTTTGTTTTGCAGTCGAAAGAGATGAAACACAGCAGTGGCCTGTGCCTTGATCTGAGCGACAAGTCAAAGGAGGAGCCTAGCGTTCAGGCTTGCAACGGAAAGAAGTCACAAAAATGGGACCTTAAGACGCTCGACCTGATAAGTTAAGAGTACCTAAGGCAAAGCAGAAGTGGTATTTTTTTTTAGTGATAGCCTTTTCCAAATGTTGATTGAAGAACGTGTGAAAGGTTCTGAATGAGAAATAGTATGACAACATGCTGCTTTTTGCTTCTGACAACTGATTGTGAATATCTCCTAAAATCAACACAGGACTTCACACTCAAGGAGGCACCCAAACTTTTAATGAGATATCTAAATACAAGGATATAAATATATCAATTTTGTTTCTATCTGAGGTAGACAATACAAAAGCATTTTATGATTTTTAATCGATTTGGAGTTTTCAATTAACAATTATGCGATAAGTTTTTTCCTGTGAGGTTGAACTGGCAAAATCGAAGGTATTTGGTAATTTTGTGTCCCATATTTACCAAACATCATCGAGTTATGAAAAACAATCTATTTTATGAGTATCATCTTTTGGTAATATTTGTTCTTAGATGCTCTAGTAGAGCTACTGTACATGTATACACTCAATTTAACCCGCAAATAAATCAAATTATTTGATGTTTATGTTGTCTTGAACAATGGGATAAATCTGTACCTTTGATTTGCCCCAAAACAAGCACATGTGATGTCTTTTTATGGATTCCAGTTTATTAGACTTGTCGAATGTCGTCATGGCAAGTTGAAGAAGAGCAATAAGGTTTCGTTTTAGACAACAAATTATCAGCTGATGTGACTTAAATTTTTTGTAGTATTCTTTTTTGTATTTTTTTAGATTATGAATAGAATATGAATGCTCTTTATCCATCCATTTTGAGAAAGTTCCAATTTATGTTGTTTTGTCTTTAGTCAGGGGTAACTGTAAAACAAGAATGTTTTGCAACATGAAACTGTACCGCGTTGAATAATGATTGCCGTTTTCACAATTTTTCTTCTTCTGTGAATGCATGTTGCAATCATTGTGACTCAATCTAATTGTGATATTTCACCGCGTGATACTTTCTTGAATTCAAACCACTTGTCAAATTTGCGAAAGTTTCATGCATGCCAGATTTCTTGGTTTTAAGGTATTTGATTTCCATTTCTATTGGGCGATTTCTCTGTCTTTGATATTCGTTTTTTGTCATGTGTTTGATCATCCGTCGTCAACTTGTTTCAAAATTTATTGTAGCAAGTTCAGAAGAATTTATGATTGTACATACCTGGTTGTAGTTGCCACCTCTTCATAAAGGCCACCTTCTTAGAATGGTCATGCAGTTTGTCTCCCTTGAGAACGAAGTGTGTGTCATAGAACCTGTCTAGAAAGGCCACCTGTCTGCAGTGGCCACCTTTTCTGTTTCTTATGTTAATGATGTTTGATATCATTTTTTTGACAATGTTCGGGAGATTTCATATCATTCAAAACGTATAGAGTCTATCATGAGTTGTCACGCTTTCTTTAGTCACTAGTATTATGAACTAGATATACCAGTGTGAGCAAATTTCAAACATCAAAAATCAAAATGGGTAGAACTAAGACATAAGATGTAGGGGAGAGGTGTATGAACGCACACAGGTCTTTCTAAATGTAGATGTACGTGTAGAAGGAAGATTTCTTGTGCTTTACGTTGATTTTATTCAAAGAAAATTATTTAATGTCTTTCTTAAATTGGTAGATACATATACAGTTAGATGTACATTGTACAGTATGTTTCTGGTGTTGAACATTAGTGCGGCAGTGTGTGCGTGGTGGAAGAAAAGAGATGATGGTTGTGATGTGGTAGGTTTTTTTTAAATATTTTATTTTTTATTGATTACCGGTATTAAAAATCAAACACGCAATGCTGTTTCGCCGCCCTGTGCCAGATCTCCTTTTCTTTTTTCACCCAATAGAAGAATGTGACTCTCAAAAAATGCTACAATTACATGGTTATTATTGGCCTGCTAAACTGGTAATGGTGAAGAAAGGGCAGTGGTAGACTCTTTTAATAGCTCTAGATAGGTCTTATTCTGCAGTATGTACACAATTTGTACATTTTTTTCTGATCTTTTTCTTTCTAGCCTAAACATCTTAACCTCAGTCCAACATTACTTTAGTGCCATCTCCATACGTTGATAATTTGCATAGCATTTTTTAATGAGTAGCACTCAAATCAAACTTGAACATATATCACAGATTCATCTTGTATTTTTATACTCTTTTTCTATCTCTGTGTTTGGAAAATATTAGTACAGTTATATGTCAATTTATACACATGTTCATGATCATGCTAAATTGCAATTATATTGTAATTATTGTATTCTGCGATTCGTAATTCTCCATTTACATGTAGTTTGTGTTTCCATTTTTGCCATATTTTTTCCCCATTATATTTATGTTACTAAATTGCTTTATTGACCTAAAACTCATACTTCACATTAGTACATTTGCTATTCTAGTATTGTTTATCATTTCAAGTGCATTATGCCTGTAAGATATGCAATCAAACATCTGCTCCTGTACTTTGATTTGTATTTTGAGGTTGCAGGCTATTAGTTATGTACAGTATTTCTTCATTTCTTATTAGAAGATTTTAAGCAAAAAGTGGGGGTCCCACACCAAGTCACTGTGAATGTTTGAACTGATAAATAACTATTGTCCCATAGTGGCCAATTTTGTAAAGGACTAAATAAATAATCCTTTCTTCATCAAATTGGCAACACTGCTGTATTTTTCCCTAAGTGACGAGTGTGACAGAAAAATTTCACCTGTTTACCTGGGAGAGATAGGAACGAAGATTATGGTTTGTTTTATTAAAGATAGTAAACATTTTGATTTTATCATTGTTGCCAATTTGAAAATTCAAATATTTTCACCTCTTTTGAATATTCTTGGCATTACACAATCTTGTATGCTGCAAGAAAATAAATATGTACATGTTGTGTTTGGTCCAGGGTAGGAGTTAGGAAATCGCTTAGTGTACAACCTTGCCTCTGGAGCAGTTGTCACAGAAGTATGTGGGGTAAACCAAACTATACCTCGTTTAGGACTTGGTACTGCTTTGTATTTGCTTTTGTATATTTTGATTTGGATGATATGCCTTTGGGTCCATATGCACAATGGCTGCTCACATGTTGTTTCCATCTGTCAAATGGCATCCGAGCTGCAATATTTTAAACATATTTGTCTTTGATATCATTTTATGTGGTAAAGCTTGCATTGAAAGTAGTCTTATTTATTTCATGTTTTGGAGTAAGTACTGTTAACTTGTTGAGTGGTTTGCAAACTGTTGTTGAATGCTTACGGAGTGAACAGGAACCCGTTTCACAAAGCCTTTATTCAATGACAAATGACAAAAATCAGTGACAATCTGCTGATAACCAATCAGAAGCAAGGATTTCACTAGCTCATAACAAAAACTATCATTTGTCACTGATGATGATGTTTGTGAAATGGGGGCCCAGATTTAAACTTTCTTGCGTCGGCCTTTGCGCAGTTGGACCAAAGACGTTGATGAATGCTTCTGTTAAACTAATCAACTCAATGATACATAATTTTAGTGCCTTAGCCATGTCTGTATTTGAATTTTCTTGAACTGCAGAATTTAAAACTGTTTTACAAACATTTTTATTGTGTTATATTCAATCACCGGCTTGATATATTATGTACTTCATGCTTTTGTATATTTTCTGATGTGTTTCTTAAAGATGTCCTACTTGTCTATTTATTCTGTATGATTAGTTTTCTTACTGTTTAATTTCCTTACTCCTACATGTAGGTGTCTTTTTATCTCTAACTTTTATAGAAAATATGAATGTGAAATTAAAGCACTGATGGTGTCAATTTGAAATTTCATAGTTAGTAACTTTGCCTTTTATGTTTTTCTTTGAATAGTACATGTACCATGTACATGCCAGGATATGATATAATCATGTACATTAAAAAAGATTGTTTTGTAGTAGTAGTAGGAGTTATCATGCCTTATAATTCATTAATTGCCACATTGCCACATTGTCAGTTTCATATGTGGTTCTGTTGTATAAACTTGTGTGCAAAAGATGTACGGTTCTCTTCCTGTAAAAGAAAAAAAAAAGAGCCCCAAAGGGTTCAAAATATGTTTTTTTAAACTAAAATTCCTTGAAATTAAAACTGGCTTCACTAAAGATTGACTCCTTAGTTCTTTAAAGCAGTCCATGTATATTTTCTGCATATTTGTTAGTGAGAAATATATTTATTCTAAATTGTTTGAAATATACTTCTTTAAATTCATTATTTTGCATTTTCGTTTTAGGAATACCATAGTCTCAAACTAGAGTTACTCTGCCAGACCAACTCTAAATTGGCCGGTAATCAATAAATATCGGCCCGTTTGGGATGTTAGCATTTTTATTATCAGAAGACTCGCAAGACCAAAACAGAAGGCTAAATTTGGTTCCATGAAACCTTTGATCAATATTAAATGAATCATTTGCATTTTAGGTTTTATTTTCTTACAACTTTCTTTGTACACTTTGAGAGATTCATATTCTGTATTTTTTCCATTCATATTTGTGATAATGTGTATCTACTTTTTTATACATTACTAATTGTCATATAATACTTGATCATGTAATAACTTATGACTAGATTTGTAGAAAATGAGCGTTCAGCAAGATATCAGTTATTACGAGTTGCGTTTAGGGAGTATGTGGATGATTGTTTGATGATCAAGAATTGATGATTACTTGGTTCTCTTCATAAGAATAACAAAACAGGGATGCCAGTTTTCAGGCAATAGCCTGAATTCAGGCCCTGGCAAATTATTTTCAGAGCGTAGTTTAGGCTTTTTTGTGTCCAACTAGCTCATTCTAGGTGATTATCAGGCCCTCTGATCAATTCTAACTGGCATCCTTGATATTAGGATGGGATGCAGGGAGGTGGATAAAAAAGGAAATGTTGATATAATTGATTGCATGAAGAGCTTGATCACAAAGACTTTCAAAAATAAACCTAAAGCAATTTCTAAAGCCTTTGCCCATCACCTGCTGTAATATGTGAACATTACAATGACAGGTTACACATAAAGCAAACATGATGTCTATAGCCAATACAATAGGGATTTCCCCTTTTGTTGATTTTGTTAAAGTCTTTAAGATCTTGTTACAAGTGGTTGTGTCAATCGTTCTGAAAGCTGCTTGTTGTAGAAAGGAAGATATTGAATCAATTGTGATACTTGGGGGTTATTGTAAAATAATAGATCATAATTTTGAATGATTCAGTGCCACCTATATGTAAGATTGTGCCAGGGAACAGCAAATTTTATACTATAAACGATCATCATGAAAAAAAGTCTAATTCCTGCAGGTTCATTTGTAAGAAATGGCTTTTCAATTATATTATATGATAGGGCTAATTTTGAAGAATGATGGTGCTATGTAACAAAATGGAATTACAACCTAAATCGCTGCTTGGCCTACTTTTGATTTGTATCAATATAAAATCAAAATTAAAACTCCTGTGCTTTTGGATTCATTATATTTGTTATGCCATTACCATGTATCAGAATTTCATTCCTTCTCTTTTAATACATTTTGATCATGGTATTCTGATTGTTTACAGTGGTTGCTGCTATGTTAGGAGTCTTCAGGCAATATCATCAGGAATAGCCTGTAAGAAGTTTACTTTTAATGCTTTAAAATTAGTTACATGAACACAAGTACTTTCAACAAATCAACTTAATGGCAATTTTAATGGCATTGCCTTTAGAAATGTGTAATACGGTATTGGTCATGTTTGAACACTGCAATGGATGACTAACAAGGTCATTGAAACTGCCTTAGGTTAGGTTGATTTTTTGAGAGTCTTTGCGATTCTTTGTTTCATTTGAATATAATTAACTCTGAATAAGTCATATCAGTTTGGGCCAGAACAGAAAAATAGTTTGACTTACAGAAAATTCAAATTTTTTGCATAGTTGTGTCCAAACAATTGATTTGACTTCAAGTTATGCAGAATTAACTATTTCTAGGGTACTAGGCCTTAACATCCAATATGGATTAGGAAGCTGGTAAATAATATTTTTTTTTAAAGCGTATTTGATGAGAAAACCTGTCATCATGTTCATTTAGTACAGCTTGTAGCATCTTGTTTATAAATTGTAAACTGATACCACGTACAAATAATTATGAGAGTATGATGTCAAACTCATTTTCTGTGCCTTTCTGTAGTATTGTGTCACTTTTACAGGGATTGCTTTTTGGTGACCTTCACAGTGACCTTGTAAATATCTCATCTGTACTAATACTACTACTACTGAATTGATCTATGAAAAATATATACCAAGTCCATATTTCATGTTGGACTTATAAGAAGAGAAACACTTTTGTTCTTTGAAAGTTTTTTTTACGTCTATTTTGGGAGAATTCCTGAGAGAGAGAGAGAGAGAGAGAGAGAGAGAGAGAAAGGGGGAGGGAGGGAGGGAGGAATGGTTGATAGTAAAAGAGAGAAGAAGAAATAGAATAAAAGGAATATAATGATCAAATAAATGGATGGATTCAGGCAAATGAGAGCAAAATCTGTCCCATGATGTAACAAGTCATATCAAGGAATTATACAGAGGATTATCGTTGATTGTATGAAGTTGGGTGACCCATTAGAGTATGAAGATTGTTCCAATATTCCAAACTGATTTCAATTTCAATATAATTGTTATTGTCCAATGAAGTTTATTCTATCATACTCTTTTTACATGATACCTATATACCCTGGACTAGCCCAAAGAAGAAGAAGAAGGAGAGAGAGAGAGAGAGAGAGAGAGAGAGAGAGAAAGAGAGAGAGAGAGAGAGTGGGAGAGAGAGGAAAGAAAGTAAGTGGTAAAGAGAGAGAGAGAGAGAGAGAGAGAGAGAGAGATGGTTGATAATAGATGAAGAAAAGAAATCTACCATAATGATCATATAGAATGGATGAAATTAGGCAAATATGAGCAAAACATGGTCAAAGAAGAGGACCATGTTAATATATACAGGTCTTTACATCAATTTCATATTATTCAGTTTGCACACACTCTGCTCTCTTTTGCTAAATTCCAACCAGTATTATATGAGATCCGAACTACAGTTCTGTTTGCTTTCCTATTTGGGAGATCCATTTATAAACCTTAGTAATTAAGGGAGAAGCAATGATCTAGGGCAATGCTTTCATGGGCAGAAGCAAGCACAATAGTTCCGGTCAGACTTGTGGAATACAAATTATGATGCCAACCCCCCCCCCCCCCCCCCCCCCCCTCGGCCTCCCTCATTTTCATTCTGCGATTTTTTAAATTTTTTTTAGCGTCTTGAAGAAAGAATAGTACTATAACAAATTAATAACCAAAAACAGCTGGAAACAAAGCTATAATGTTTACATCGCCCACACACACACCCTTTCTTGAACTTTGACCAAGTTCTTCTTCCTAAAAAAGAGGAGCGAAACGGTGGAAAGGCCTTGAAACAGCATCTTTGTAAAGGTTAAAACCTTTTCTGGTCTCAGTTAGATTGATGTCGCATTCACAAGAGCCCAGTATGCATCGAATGAATGCTTTGTTAGGTCATCTTTCCCGGGGAATTCAGCATGGGATCCCTGCTACAGGGACCGCTGCAAGACTGCACAGCTGTACCCCGACACTGGCGGCGGCAGGCGGGACGGTTCAGCGGCGGGCCGTGGCAGAGAGGAAGAAAAATACAGACGATGTGGTGGTTGTGTCAGCGCTGAGAACGCCCATCGGGAAAGCCAGAAAGGGTTCATTTAAGGTTAAACAAGACAATCCTAGTTTTTATAAGTGTTATTTAGTATTTTATATTTAGAAGAAGAATAAGGAGGAGGAGGAGGAGGAGGAGGAGGAGGAGGAGAGGGGGGGGGGATATAATTTGTGAGAAAAGTGTGATTAGAATGATGAAAAAGTGTATTTTCTCCTAATTTATGCTGTCAGTAGGGGCTAAAATGTGTTTACTAGCTAGCCTGAAGACAAAATCAGCACTTCACAGCTTTTCGCCTTTCATATAATTATAAGCAGGCACTTCTTTAAAGCCCCACTGTCCTACTTGTAGCTTCTTGCTCCCTCTATATAGAAAACTTCCCCAATCGGTGCCTGTTGATCCCTCATGATCCTCTTTTTCTTATCTTAGTTGAGAGCTGAGTTAATGAGATAGCCACCTGTCAGTGACCTCGCTGTGTGGTCTAATCCCTTCTGGCCCAGTATTATTGACAGTCTTTAAACAAAGAAGTGAAGAGTTTGCGATTGAATGAATGTTATAGCAAAGTCAACTAGCTAACACAATGAGTTGTCTCAACACTTGTAACTTCTATTGCGATACAAACATCAAGTTGTTAAGTTGTTCAGGAATCAAAGCTCTAGGCACACTAGAGAAAACTTGGCAAGACCTTGAATTGTTTCGCTTCTTTCATTTACTACAAAATACTTTGCTAAATAATGGCAAGTTCACAAAATTTGCAATCAGGGTCTGTGATTATAGACTATGTGTACTTCATATTGTACCTGCACAATTCAACGGCTGGGGACTTGCATGTACATCTACATCTACTATAGGTCTATATTTGCTTTGTGAGTCTGTTGATACTCCAGGTCAGGACCCATATAGTCTTGCAGTCATGTAATCAGCATTCTCTGCCAAATTCCTAAATTAGACTAAAACTAACAACCTGTTTAAATGCTAATTTTCATTTGAATGTTACAAATGATGCTTGGATGTACATTTCATGAAATAGTATAATGTAGCAAGGATCAAACATTTTTCCATAAGAAAAGTCTGTAAACATTATTAAACTTATATATTTTAACATACATGTACATGTTGTGATACTTGTAATGACAAGAAAGGGTACAAATTGTTATCCACATTATGAATAGGAGCTAGGAAATAGCGCATGACATAGCAATAATCTCTCACTTTTAATTTGTAAAATGTCTAGATAAAGGTTACAGGTCTATTGAGTCTATTGACTAAACAGAATGTCAATAAAGGTCAAATTCCATTGGTCTTCTTTCTTGGTGAATAAAAATACATGTATGGTACTGAAATATCTGTGGCATAGTTTAGGGTAAAGCTCCTACAGGTATATCAGAATGTATGTACTTGGGTAATAGATCCCTTGAAAATGAAAAATCAAATGTCTTGGAATTCAGTTATTTTTTGTAGTTATTGTGATTAATTAATGGGCTCAACCAGTTTGAATTCAATTAGGAGTATTTCTTTGAAAACAAATATACATAAAATACCTTTAATTGAATAATATGCATTATAACATTAATTTTAATAAGGATATAATGTTAGAAAATCAATTTATCAAATGTTTCTTGTTATAATCTCTGTTTCCCCTTGCCCTTTCCTGATATTGTGTTTTCCCTTCTTTTACAGTTTCATTTGATATATTTATCCCAAAGCTTCTCTCTTTTTCAGTTTGCCTACTTTTTTGCCAGTCAATACTGTAAGCTTTTAAGTCAGTATTACCTATACATGTACATGGTTTATATTGCAAGTGGTAATAGTAATTATAACAATATTGGTTTCTTGTGTAGTAAATTTCTTATATCTGTCAGACTTTACGCTCTTGGCGCTCCCGATTATTATCCCTGGCTTCATATTAGAAACAGTTATTGTGCTTTATTGCTACATTGATAGTGAATGTACAATTGTAGTTGTACATACACATTTGCATTATCTCATGATATCTGACTCGTATTCTATGCCATTCAGGACACCCGCCCTGATGATTTACTGGCTGCGGCTTTCAAGGGGGTGCTGGATGAGACCAAGATCTCCCCGGACAGGCTGGGAGACATTGTTGTCGGGAATGTGCTGTTACCAGGGGGAGGGGCTATTCATGCCAGGTTCGCTCAGTTCTACAGGTGAGCTGAAGACAAAGGTTTACATAACAAGGGTTCAGTGAGACAAAGATGTAACTCCATATTTTGCAAAAATTAGTATTTGATATAAAAATGTTCAGACAAATGTGGGCTTTCCAGGAAACACAAAGACTTAACTCCACCGAACACCCCATTGCAGTCAATGGCTAGTGAAACATAGACTTAACTCCTTAAGGCCAAAGTGCTTAGTGACACATAAACCACTTTTTCTCAAAATGGCCAAAATGGAGTTAA